TGATTTATCAGTAGGTCTTATAAACAAAAGGACAAACAATAGCAGATGGTGTACAATACTTCAGAGGAAAAACAAAGAGGTTGCTAAGCCTCTAAAAATGGGGCAGAAATTTATTTCAGATACTATTTTAATACTTTTAGAACCTGTGTGGGTTTTGTTCCATATATTCATTGTGCAACTCTCCTCTTCAAAATGTACTTCAAAGTCAGCTGGTGTCAGTATATTCAGAGGTTTTTATGAGTCTTTTTTTTCCCTTGTGCTTTAGCTCATTTCCTGCCTTCCTTGTCATCTTCTGTCACACTACCTGCCCTTCTAAACACTTCATCTGACAGTTTATCATTATCTTTGTTTATCTGTTCTAACTAACTGGCATTCAAATAGCTGTGAATAAAGGGATCTATGTTATCAATGTCTGCACACCTAATTGCTGTATCCTTTGGGCACATCAAGTGGCACACACAAACATAACCTTTAAATTCCATTTTTTTAGAATGAACATCTTTCTTTATTGAGATGAGTACAGAAGTAAGTATTACATATGGTTCAGATATGCTGTTAAAACTGTGGGAGGCACTCAGTCCAATGCTGTTTTATTCACTTGTCATTCTGAAATTATAATATTAGCAAGAAGCAAGTAAAAAGCTCTTTCATCTTTTTGGAGAGCTAAAATAGCTTTTCAGTGCTACTTTTGGATCACTCAGATGGAACTTTCCAGGTCTCTCCAGCCTTGCTGAGAGACAGATTTCCTATAAAGCATAAGAACATACTGCTTTCCATTACATGAAATGTATGCTCAGGAATGAACATTCTCCTAGATATTCTGTCAGGAACTCTGAGACCCAATAGTTAAACGATGATAAGACTGCTGGAAATAAGGATATTTAAGACACTTTTTTTACCATGTAAAGATAAGCTCTTAAACAGGAAACCGGGACACTGCAATAGGTTTTTTTGGTATGGTCTCAAAGTCAAGTATTTTTCATGGCCTTTTTACAACATTTGATTAAAATTCACACAAGTTAGAAGAGCAAAAGAAGTATGGCTTATATCACAGCAGCAAAACCAAAGTACTTCTGATGACTTATATTTACATTACACAAACTGCACTTGAGAATAGGTCCAGAGGTGAACTAAAAATACTACACTTAGCAAGTAACAAAAGACTTCAGTGAGAAAATTAAGAATCAACTGGGTTGCAAAGTAGCATTTCCCAAATACTCTTTTGTAAGTTGTTCAGGTACTCAAAAATTCCAGGTTCTACTTTATGTTTTACATTTGAATGACAAGGTTTTGCTCAGTGAATGGAGAAAGCTGTTTGACATGGCAAATTTTCTGGTGCCAGCTCATTAGAAAGGTCTCTTTAGTTTAAAGCAGTAAGACCTTATTGAACTTGCTCTGCAAAATCTCTCCTAGCCCACGGGTCACCACTGAAAAAGATGGATAAAAATCATCTCCACAGAAAAGGGGAAAATGTAATTGATCTGAATTACATTTGCTTAGATTGCTGAATCTGGGTCAAACAGACAAGAAATAAAGCCTCCACTAAATAGAGAGGGAATAAAGATACCAGAAGAAAAAAAAAAAAAAGAGAAAAAGGATTAGGAAAACATGAAGTTCTCAGTCACACATGCCTGATTTTACACTACAGATCTGTGGAACTGCATTCAGAAGGTAGAACCATAAAAACTAAGAGAAGGATTATGATGGTCAGAAAAATTCAAAGAGAAATACTAATATAGCAGGCAGAGACACTGTCCACCTGACAAGTGCTCAGGTGATGCAGAGCCTAGAATATCTCTGGCTAAGCTGCAGCCAAAAGGGATGTTATCTCCAGATAACAAAGTGAAATCTAGCAGGGAGCAAAGGCAGAGGTGTTTGAGTTTCAAGCACCCCTTTTCCACTTCCCTCAGAAACATCACAGGGATATATTTTAAACTGAACCTCTCGTGTATTCTATGTATTTTTGTCTGAGTGAAATGTCCTTCTTCCTAGATTAATATTTTTTTTGCTTATTCTCCACAATGACAATCTAGGTCACAGTCATCCTGTAAATAATTTTTAATACTTCGTGTCCTTTAAGAAATCAAGTATAAATCAACTGCATAAATTAACTCCTGAAGATATCTTTTTCAGCAAACTGGATTTGGCTGCAGATTTGTAGTCCTCTCTGCTATGTTCTTTATCCAAGTGTGCCTTGATTATTAATCAGTGTGACATTGTCTTTGTGACTGAATTCTTGCCTTTTTCCTACAACCTACATTCTCCCATCTCAGCCATTTTTATTTCCTTTCAAGATCTCTCATTGGCAACATCTCATTGTGTTCATTTATTTACTTAATTGGCATTCACATAACTTTCAGTAACATGATCTATTAATGTTATTGATTTTTGCTAGGCTGCATGCTGTATCTGTTGTAAGCATTGATCTGAATACCTGGACACAACCTTGAAAAGTTTCAGTTTATAGACTGAACTACCAACTCCTTTCTGCATTTTCTTCCCACTATTTGAAAAATTTGCATTTTAGTTTAATAAAAAGTAAACTGCCACAAACCACAGACCTTCACTATTTTAATCACACTGTTACCATTCTGATTCCTAGAAACATGTCTTTTAATGCATGTTCTGACTTTTTTGTTTTCTTGCATGACTTTTTTTTAATTTTCTACTCCAATTCTCATCAAATAACACCTCACTCCTTGAAAAAAGCAAGAGAATTGTCCATCCCTCTGTCTTTTATGTGTCCACAACCATCAAATAACAGGTAAACTACAGGGTATGAGAAGACTAGGGACTCTTTTTTCCTCTCCAGGCCTGACTGAATGTAAATTGATATTTTTTTAACAACTCCATCTCCATATAAAAATTATAGATAGCTACTACAGGTTCATGAGAGATCAGGAAACCTTAGAAGGTCATCAGCTAATACCAGAGGGTAATTCTAACTTTGGAAACTGATATAAAAAATAACCTTATGCAATAGAAGTATTTGTCTGCATCTGTCAAGTTTCATAAGTGTGGCACTTCCAATTCTATTTTTTTTTTATTAATTATCTTAAATCAGGTTAAAATCATGAACTAAGTTGGAATTGCTGTTAAATGTAAAAACGACCTGAAGAGACCAGGGAATTAGTGCTGCCATCATTTAACCAAGTTCACCACATCAGAAGAACCTTCTTTACCCTGAGAGCCCACATTTAGGAAAAGTTGCATATTACACTGAAACTCATTGCACATTAAAAATCAGCAACATTTTCTCTGTAAAACAGTAACTACAAAATCTTCTAGTGCCATTTTAGATACACCTCAGCAAAGAGAATGGGACTTGAAATGAAATGGCAAGAGTCTAAGAAAAAAAAATTACATGTCCTTTACAAGCACTGAAAAACAGTATTGCTTTCTACATGTCTGCTAAAATAACACATATTCTACTTAAGTGCACAATACAACCTAACGCAAAATGTGGGCATTCTTTTTCCCTACTCTGATATAATGCAAACAGAGCAGGTAACACTGAGAAACACATTTTTATTATGGTAACCTTTATATTATGCCTCTTGTGAGCCCACAACATAGATTTCCGCACTTTTCCATTCACTGAATCAGGAAATCCTTCAGTTTTTTGTATTTCAGAAGGGACAAAAAACCAGCACAAACGTGAAAACGATTCACTTTGTGGATAAAAGAAAGATCAGCTTCCCTAAGCCACACTAAAATTCACTAAAATGAAATAAAACTAGACAGAAAGAAAAGGCGAGTGTAGGAAAGAAACAGGAGGAAGTTCAGCTCTGTCTCTGAATGAAAGTGTGTTTTCAGCAGGTTTACACATCTACAGGAAAGGCTTGGATGGGCTATGATATCACTATCTCATCAATCCTTGCAAACCTGAAAGGGCAATAGCACCAAGATGGATGAAGGTGCCTGTGCTGTTTGCAGTACACTGTGTGTGCTGGGCCATGCAGCTACGAGTTATAAGTATGTTTTTGAAACAAAACATTTTAAGAAAGCTATTTCATTTCTTCCTGCAGACCGCACTCTGTATTGCCTCAGGGACAAGTTACCTGAAGATTATTTTCTAGTTGTCTTTGTTGTTGTTGCCAGAAGGCCTCAAAGAATGAAAAGGTGCTTTTGAACAACAGGAAAGATATTCTGTAAGGGCATCACAGGCTCACTGGCCATTTACTGTTGTTCTTTTTCTCTTTGCATTAGGTTTTACAGCCCTTCTCAGCAAGTTGCCTTTGAAAGTATTTTTAGGGATACTAAATGTACTTATGACAGTTTTACTTTATACAAGTGAAACCAAGAACATAACAGGGTTATTTGGGGGTTGCTTATCACAACTGTATGATTGTGACCTTAACCTAAACCTGGAAATCCTCACATCAATTTCATGGATTTTGAGTTAAGCCCTAAGAAAACATTGATTTCATTAGTGAGTTTAAAATAGACATGCATTTAAAAAGATTTACTTGTTCCTTTTACACAGTTCAGAGGCTCAGATTCTACTACCTGTTTCTGTTGTTCTGTAAAGGAAGAGCACAGACTTTGGCATGGATTCCAAGGAGAGTCTCATAACATTATAAACTCACTTTCTCTCAACTCAAACAATGTAGAAAGCAATTAATTATTAAAATAATCCAATAGCTTGCAACATATGAAGTGAAAAAGTACCAGTTTTGCAATGATTGAGGGAGGGTTAGAACCTGTATCTACTAACATTTCTCTGTGATAAGCTTCATGTGCTACTAAATTCCATTGAAGTCTTTCTAGTAAAAATCACTGTAGTCACAAAAAAAAAAACAAACAGGTACCCTACTTTATATGCTTAAAAGACTTATAGGTATAAGTAAATACACTTTAATTTTGGGGTGGGGGTAGAGGAGACTAGGTGAAGGAGTGAAAGAAAAGGTGCGGAGGAAAGGTGTTTTAAGATCTGTATTTTTCATTCTCGCTATGCAATCTATTTTAAATTACAAAAAACTGATTTTTCCCCAGGGTGAGTTTGTTTTGCCCAACAACTGAGTTGGCAACTCCTGAGCTTTCCCACCGTGTTTTGACCACCACCCCATAGGATGAGGTGGGGGAGTGAGTGGCTGGCTGTTAGCTAAGGTTGAGCCCCCACACCTCCCAGCACTGATACAGAAACACCTCAAAAGGTGTTATACTTTTAACATATTGGTCTCACACTGGGGGACACTGATGTCGCATAAACTAAGTTTAGGTTAATTCATGCAGCTAAGCCTGTATAATATTCGACTTCAGCTCTCCACAAACAACTACAGATTCAAGACATACAACCTCAGTTCACTAAAGTTTCAGCCTGGAAGTGCAGACCTCTGCTTGCAAGTTAGTAAGGGAAAGAAAAAAAGCCTAAATGAGTCCTCCAAATAGGGGAAATTATCATCAGTAGCTGATCCTCAAAGAATGTAATTTTAGAAGGAAGAAAAGATGCATTGAAAAAAAAAAGCATACTGAAAAAGATTTAAAAAGAAAAGTTTTAAAATCAGCTACAATTTCAAATGAAGGAAACAATAAATTAAAAGTTCCAATGACCTGACTGGGTTATGGAAATAGTTTCGTAAGATTATCTAACAGTGAGTCACTAAAACATGGCCACTTCAACCTACACAAAAGACAGTCTCACAAAAACAAGGCACAACAGTCTGCTGAGTTCTCTGAGAGGCTACAATAGCTCAAAGGTAAACTTTTATCAAGGTGCCAAATTATTTTTTCACATATTTAAAACTTCTCAGAGACAGTAAGTCATGCAAATAATAAACACCCCCATATACAGTATAGATTCTCACTGGTAAGAAGGAAAACAACCCAAGAGGACACTGATACAAGTCCTGAAGTCATGGGACAAAATCACAATTCGGCACTTTCTGAATGCCTTGGCTGTAACTCCTAGAAGAGGTGTGTAATGCCAGAGGAGCCCCTGCTCACTGAAAAGGGTCACACCTATGAGGGCTGGGTGAAAAGGTCAAGGATTCCAGAGCTTTGTCTGTAGACCAGGCAAAGGAAGAACACAACAATTATACTGACTATGACCTTGCTTGATTCTGCTCTAGGTGAGCAGCTGAGTAGAGACGGTGCTTCTTCACAACCTGGGCAGTCACCAATGTCCCTTCAAAAAAGGCTTGAGCCATGTAAGCTTTGTTTTTAAAATATAGCAAATATATATAAATATATAATACAGCTTTTTGTCAGACTAAATTTGTGAGAGAAAACCAACAAACTTAATAAAATCCCAATAAAAATATTAAGGAACCTTTGGGAAGTTCCGTAGCCACTCTATAAAATGCAGCAGGTAGAACACGTATTGTAGCTGAGGATGGAGAGACCTACAGTGCAAAACTGAAGTTTTGCAGACACCTGCCTGCACGTGGCTGTGCTGAGTTACCTCTGACCAAACCTGGCTAAACACAGAGCTGTTTGCTGTGTCACTGTTCACTGCTGACCCCTCCTGCCTGTGACAGTCACCTCTGCAGTAAGTGAGCAATTCCTGTCTCAGTGCTGGAGAAGTGGAGAGTGAAATAGGAAAGAAAGTGTGTATTGTGAACTCCAACTCTGTTACAACCATGCTGGCCATGCTGATTCTTCCTTTATTAAGCAAAAATAGAATCAGATCACTGATCTTATGTAGAACAAAGAAAATTTGGCTATACATTTGTTTCACTGGGATTAATTTAGATCTTTAAAACATGATATTGTATAGTAAAGTGATTCATGGAAGACTTGAAAATAAAGTTAGGGGGAGGGTGTATGAAACCTTGAGATGCCAATTAAGTTCTCTGGATTCCACTGAGGTCATTGGAAATGCAGTGGAGGCTTAGTCTTAGCTTGGCCTGGCTCAGCTGTTATTTGTTATCTTTACCAATTCTCATATTTTACATCTCTAGAAGAGGTTTACCAGCTGCTGCATATACAACTATTGTACAACATAAGCTGGTATAGTATATAGGACAATTATTCATTTAAATAGGTCTATTAATCATTATAGTTTGTCATTTGGCACATAAAATGGGCTTGTATCCATTTTTTTTCTGTATGAAGTAGGCATTTTAAAATCTTTCACTGTCAAACAAGCCTGTTACACAGGCAGTGCAATCTTTAATGCTGTTTATTTATCAAACTTAATGTAATAGGATTCCTTGACATGGTACACTGATGAAGAAGTGAGGTTCATTTTCAGAATGCTGAAAAAGTAAACATCTAGTAGCTGATATTCCTCACACTTTCTGTAATGCACAAATATGAACTGCCTCAATGTGCAATAATTTCTACAGCAACCTGCAGGTTTTGTAAAATGCAATGAAAAAGCTGGCTGTAAGACCTGTTAATCACTGAAAAGTGATATTGTGAGCTACAGCTGCGGTCCAGTGATTCACCGATCTGGTAATAAACCAGTGACAGATGATCTCAGTTGTTGCAATATAAGAAGCATTAGCAACTCCCGGATTTAGGTAAAATGGTGTATTATATATCAGAACTAAGAGATTGGTATGTAAAAACAATTCCCTGCTGCAATGATATGCAACTTCTCATGGTCTCCAGAGGAAATAAAATCTTTTTTGGTTCATACCGCAATAAAAAACAAACCAAGTTGGTTTTTTTGTTTGTTCTTTTTAAGGGAGAGAATAAAAAGCATTACAAATCACTGTTACTAGTACAGCAAAACTTTAAATGTTCTGTGTGATAAATGTTTACTGTAGGTTATATGTGCATGAGATCTGCAATTGTACTTTCTCTGTTTGTCAGGTGCAATTACTTACTATGTACTAAAGCACACAAACAAAAGCACAAAAATCATTTACTCAGTGTTAATTACATTACTCCTGAAAATCAAAATAAGATGCCTAACTTCTTTCTTTCCCAAGCCCAACTTCCTCTATCTTATTATAAGAGAGATGAAAAGTCTTCAGGTAGAATTCAGGAGCACAGTTCAATCAAGACATACATTAAGATAAAAAAGAACATAATATTACCACAATGTATACACACTCACACAAGGATTTGTGATATTTCTCAAGTACCATTGTTAAAAAAGCAGAATTGCAGTGTTTATCATAGGTATAGTAATTTTTGCAAGAACAGGCACAATATTTTATAGTGTTCCTGTCAATTGAGCTTTCCACTCATAATATAACTCGTTAGGGAATGTGCAGGTTCATAAACCAGAATTTTCCAAAAGCAAGTGATAAGCCACCAAATACAGAAGTGATTCCGATATTCAGGCAGTATTTATATCGTGAATCCTATAAATGCAAAGTAAAAGAGATCATGACAGGAGCTAGTTCTTCAAATATTGCACAAAGCACTGAGCAGATATGTCCACCTTTCCCCAGACCAGGAAAACAACTCTGTAGGTAGCTAGTCCCTGTTCCATGGTGATTTGGCCAAAAAAAGAATGGTGATCTAAACCAAGAGCAAACAAAAAAAAATTCCAGTTTGTTTTGGTTTTGTTTTTTTTTCTAGAAACATTCTCACGGGAGAAAATATAACTGTATTTTTTCTACATGAAAATGAGAGAGAACAGACTTACCAGAGAGCAGCCTCGTGATACAGGGTTAAGCTGGGTCTTAAAACAGGCACAGGTGGAATCTGAATGTGCTCGTCTTACCTGTTGAAGGGGGGAAGCAAACACTAACCAGCAGTATAGAAGGCAGGCATGGCTCTCTAAAATAACTCAGTAAATCTGACTCACCCCACTTGTGTTTCTGTTTTCCTTCAGTTCTCTCTGCAACTCAGCCGCCCTCTTGGCAAGGCAGTGTGTTTTGCTGAATCAGCAGACAGGTGAACAAAGGAAAAGCAGTTTGTGTCTGGTTGGCACCCTGAGAGGTGCAGGAATGGGCCGGGTAACCAGCAGTGCCATCAATGGGGAAGGGATGGGCAAGAGCAGGGCTTGTGCCTCTTCAGGCACAGGGAATTCTTAGACTGCCTCAGCTCCAAATCCACCTGCAGTGTCAGGTGCTTTGCCCCAAAAGATACTTAACACAACAGCTTAGAGAGGAAACTGCATCTGCAGGCCAAACAAAAGAGCCTTGGTTTCGCATATCCTGGATCACTCTTTTATACTTTGCCATTGAAACAGAGAAGGAATTACTGGAGGAATTACTTTTTCTCCAAAACTCAGTCTTTTTGCAGAAAAGGAAGCGCTTTTTTTCCCCAGTCAGCCCTGAGAACATCAACATATGGAGCCTGTTAGACATAAGGGAGAGTGTAATGTGTTTTGAGAAAATTCACAGTTTTCTAACCTAGATAATGTCAGCAGAAATTGCTTTATTTGCATCGCGTATTATCAAAGCCAAGAGAAGAAAATATATTACAAAAAAAAAAGGGTATTTTTGTAGATCATACAAGAATAAAATTTTAAGAAGACAAGACATATCTGGAGAAGAACCAAATGCCATTTTTAAAGGTTTATATTTTAATTGAATCCAAGATGCTCAAGTAAGCCTTTTCTTAAGGTATATGTCCCTAATAAATGTCATTCAATAAGAAATAGAGAGGAGAGGATTGGGGTTTTTTCAATCCTAACTCTAAAGCATACACACAGAAAAGCACATACATGAAGACTCTTTAACTGAAAGTAAGAATAAATAAATTTTAAAGGGCTGTTCAGAATTACTACAATATATTTAATCCATCAAACACACCTTCTCTGTGTTTCTCTGAGCCTGAAGTAGAAAAACATAAATAGAATCTCCTGTGGGTGTGGAGCTATAATATCTGGTTCTTCTCTTACCTCCATCTTTCCTTCATTTCTCGCTGTATAGGTTGGAATTGCACCATAACAGTCTTGCTCTTTCTGAAATGAACAGCAATTTTGACATTAGACATACCAAAGGATCATGACTAGAATATATCATATTTCAGTGATTTGTTTTTTCTTTTGGGGGTGGTGGTAGGGGGTCAGAACAATGACAAAAAAATCCAGCAAAAAAAAAAATCTTTCAAATGTGTGCCATCCCTCCCCACCCAAATGTCTTTTGGTAGCAACACTGACCACAGAGCAATAAGGTGTCATTTATCATCCATTCTGCAAGAAAAATACAGCTGACAGTTGTGACAAAGAAATGTGGCTTCAAAGTCTTGAGAAAAAAAAAAAAAAGAAAAAGTTAATGAGACCATAATGTCCTTTAGAACTCTGGGAAAACAGGAAGAGAGTTTTAAAATCCTCAAGTTTAAGGTCTTTGCATCTTCCCTTTATTTATCTACATATATTTTCATAAAAGAAGAAAAAATTAAATGCTGGGATAAATGTATGGAGTCCTGTTTTCATAGTAACAGTGTTCTGCTAAAAAAAAAAAGGCCCACCAAAACAAAGCAACAAATAAAAGCACTATTTTTTCTGTAAACTGATATTTCATTTTGTTAATTACTACAGTAAAATAATAAAAATTCCTTAAATTCTGGATTCTTCAAAAACCTGCACACCTCAAAACTATTTACTAGTACTAAAAGAAACATCTGCAAAGAAGTATTGACTAAAACAGTGCTGTTAATTGATTGTTCTCTATTTCATGGCAAAAATTATTTAAAATTATTTGTATCACAGAAGATTCATGGTCTGCTACAATTCTGAGGGTAGAAGTGAAGAATGCTTTTAAGGTGTTTTTTCAACTTCTCTCCCTATTTCAGATAAAACTATAAGGAAAAGCAGGGTTTTTTTTTTCATAACCAAAAATTTTGAAATTCAATAAAACAAGTATGATGTGAACCCTGTGAAAGTTTGTACTAGTTCCAATTAAAAACACCAGTTAGCCTATACAAAAAGAAAAACAAATCAGACACCAGCAGATATAGAGACAAGGTGCTGTATTCTAGTTCCAACAGCCATAAAACAAAACTATCAACACCTCAGATTCCAGCAGTAGTTCATAATTATGTTTTCTAAATCTGTTGTTTGGTCCTACGGTAACACCATAGCAACCCAACTGAACAAAAAGTAGAATTTATAAAGCAAGTGTTGTGGAGGAAGACTAGTGATGCAACAGCTGACATTGGTCATTTATTTGGCAGACAGACTTTGGAAAGACAATCAGATTTCACTTGTTCCAATTGCCCATAAGACATTTGGTGCCTTGGGTTAGAAATATGTTCTTCACCTGAAACTGTTGTTAGCACAGCAGGATTCTTTCCCTGAATTAGCAGAGCAGAGTGGAACACCTCTGTTTGCTTTGAGCACCGATTGCTGCTGTTCTGTAGCCATTTCAGAACAAACACCTCACCCTTTCAGACACAGGGGGTCTGGCTTTGCAAAAATGAAGCTGATTTGATTTGTGACATTCTTGTGGTTTCCCTATTTCATCAGTTTTAATAAGTGTTTATTCACTTAAACCTGAAGCATCTGGCATGATTCCCCTCTAAACTAGTTATTTCTCCTTTGATTAATTTGCTTATCTAAATTAATAACACAATCTATGTTATTTCCCTTGAAATTGCTAGTAACTATCAACAGCTAGTAACAATATAGAGAATCTCCTCTGAATATTGTACTAATTTGTTTATTGTTTTATAGGCTGAGACTTGGATTCATAGCACGTTCCAAACAATAAATGAATAAATGAACTGCAAGTTATGGTCTCCAGTGGTCAGAGATCAGATTCTATTTAAACACAGTAAATAATGAAGTATAATATTAGGAGCTCAAGTAAATACATAAAATTAGTTAAAAGCAGTAGTCACTATATACGAATACTTTCTAGCAAATCACTTTACAAATGTATTATGTTACTGGATTGCAGTCAAGTTATGAAATAAAAATTATTTCATCCTAAGAAATAGTCAAGTTATCACATGAAAACCCAAGAATGTTAAGTGTATCTCAATATTCTCTCCTTGACACTTTTTCTTAATTAGACTCATTTTTCACTAGATTTCCAGAAAAGCATTCAAAGCAAATCATCATAATATTATGAGATGCTACACAAGGGACAGGGAAAGTCTGCAAATTATTCCTTGAGAATGAAAACAAAATACATTTCTGTCAAAATTATGTGTTTTCTCAGGCATTGCAGGCTTCCAAAGATGAGATATACCCAGAAAGCATTAATGTGGAATCTGAGATGCAGAAACTCCAGTAACTACAGACAACTCCCAGGCGGCCTCTTGCCAAAATTTCTTGATGAGTATACAGAGTGCATCCAATTTGGATGTGTACTTTAGCCCTTGGGAAAGTCATTATGTATATAAGGGAAAAACAATTCTCAAGTTTAACAAGCAGGAACACACTTGCAAAAAAATCGGGCTATATTTGACTCTGTGTTTCTGGTCTAAGTGACTAATAGAGGGAAATGAGCAAATACAAACAGAGAGAAAGATTGTGTCTACCAGCCTTATCTCTAACATAAGGTGAGAACAACGACCGCAGCTTCTCTTTTCCCCTTTTTCAGGGTAACTCTTCAGAGAGCTCTGATTCAGACCTTGATAAAGTCCACTAAAACCAGTCCTCACGGGTTGCTTGTTTTCCTAACATCACTGAGCACACTTGTTTGCCTGCTCCTAAACATCTCTCACCTCTGTAATCCTAAACCTACTCCTGTCACACAGTTTTCTCCAAACCACTTATTCTGTACCAGCACCTTCCTGCCCCCATTTTTGGAAAACTTCTCCTCACATTTTACGGGGTCTGTCATCTCCCAATTGAAAAAAACCCACCCCAACTTAAACACAAGCGCTGCAACAAGTATGAGTTCTACATGAAATGGTTTAAGGATAATTTTAGTCCACAATCATGGATCGTGTATCACGAATCCTCTCCTTTCACATAACTGTCCTCTGAAAAAACACTGCTGTGGTGTCCACCTCAGCTTCCCTCCTATGTCAGTGGTTAATTTTCCCTCTTCAAGCAAAGTAATTTTAACCATGTGTCTCTGGTCATTTTCTATTCCACATTTTAAGTCTTTCTCCAAAAATATTTGGGGCTGCTAATGGAATTATTCAGTAGGAGAAACAACATTTTCCAAATAACTATCTAATAATGTGTACCTAAATTCATATTTAAACACACTCATGGTCGGCCTGATTTTTTTTCCAGTAATACCTACACAACAAAGGAAACTGCTTTATCTAAAAACAGAGCATCCAGCTCATTTTAAAGCCTGGTAATTATTGGCACTGTGTTCTCTGCAGTGTTCATAAAAGAGTAAATATTTGAAAAAACAGAGTAGCCACAACAAAAAGAACTATTATGATAGATGATGCATACATTTCTACAATTTAGTCAGTAAAAGTATAACAGCACTTAAAAAAATTTAGCTCTTCTGAAATACAGAAGCAGATGATAAAATACACAGAGTATCTGTGAACAAAATTTCAGTGGGAGAATGGCAGGTAGCAAGTACTAAAACTTCCAGAAACAGCATGTAAAGAATACAGTGAAAATATTCTAAGATTCTAAAAACTTTTCTGTTCTTTAGACTAGCTCTTTTATTTCAGATTTAAAGAAACCTTAACAAGCTTATTGCTGAAGCACAAAGACAAATGAAGTCCCACCTTATGTAGTTTTACAAAATGTACAGAGAAATCTGAGTGGATCATAAATATGTAAAAAAAACCCCAAAACAAACAAAGCACATAATTTGTTTGCTTTTGAAACATGCTCTGTAAGAAACCCACAGTTGATAGAATTGTGGACTGGGGTATAAGGTTCAATGGAAGTGCGGGCTGGTAAATGAAACATTTGTCATTCCAGAATGACAGACTATAAGTCAAGATGCCAATCATTAAGGGATAACAGATGTCTTCAGTTGTCTGCTGGCTCTTTATTTTGATTTTATTGTATTACAGAGATGGCCAGGAATACCAAAAGATAATACCTTTTATCGTGATGAGCAGGGCACGTTTGCCCTCCTGGGCAGTTAAGGGGCAGAAATGCCCCAAGAAATAGGATTAGCAGCTCTGCAAACGACATGTCACATTCTCAGCAGCCACCAATACAACAGCAGCAACCACTTTGTGTACAAGCCTGTTATCTGCATTGCCATGGGCAGTCACAGTCTGGTTAAATAAAATTCTTTAATGAAGTCAGCAAAAGTGAAAAGACTAAAACA